AATACCAGTAGGGTCCTAAATGGTGGAGAGGTTTCAGTGGAACTTCCAGATTAAGGCACATTAGGAAAAAGGCCAGATGATCTGCTTCTGAAAATTAGCAAATGATAGTCTTATGGATAACAACAGAACATTGCCCAATGTAGTGTGGAAAGATGAGCCCTTTGAGTTGAAAGACCTTCAAAATACTACTGGGAAAGAGCTCTTACCTCAGGGTAGAATTGAACTTAATGATGTGGGTGGAGTAAAGCCTTTAGGATCTTCATTTTCTGATGTTGCTCAATTCAAAATGAGAAGCAAGAGATGTAAGCATCCATTAATAATCAGAAAAGGGAATGTAAGAAGTATGAATCAAAGAAAATCAGTTTTCAAAACTGAAATGGAATGCATTAGTGAGCTGAAATAGACTGGTACTGACCATTTTGAATCTTACATACATATAATCTGCTATGTCAGGAATGACAAATTGAAAAAGAACAGTGTTGCATTCATCATCAAAAAGAACATTTCAAGATCTATACTGATGTACAGTGCTATTAGTGATAGTTTCAATCAATATCTGGTATTCTTTTATTACTAAGGTGCTGACTCAGAGTTCTTTATGGAGTTGTTGCCTATATGGAAGAGCATTTAATATGACTATTATTTATATTTTCACCCCAACCACAAATGCTAAAGATGAAGAAATTGAAGATTTTTACAAACTGCTGCAGTCTGGAATTCATTAAATGTGCAATCAAGATGCATTGTTTATTACTGGTTATTGAAACTCCAAAGTTGGAGAATATAGCCTTGATGATAGGAATGGTGCCAGAAGCCATTAGGAACAAATTCGGCAAGATCAATGACTTACTCATTGGTGAAGTACAGTGAATTACTTAATTTGGCTCTTCTAGCCATAGTCTTTTTAATTCCCACCAAATAACTGGGTTGGACTATGCAAATGTGAAGTATTTGTGGCCCTCCAAGAGGATTGGATAGTTTGCTAATAATGTAAACAAAGTGTACAGAACGCTTGAGTATGTGAGAACATGGAAATAAGGTGTATGGAACCCTAAAATGAGGATTAGTTAGTTTTACCATCCTGCTAGGCATAAAATGAACCATCCCAGAAGCAAGAAGGGGAAATCTCACTACCATCAAAAAAAAGAGTCAGGATTGGAGCAATTTTGGACTCATGATCCCTGTGCAGAACCTCCTTGATCCAGGAGACAGAGAGCTATGATAATAGAGATAGCAACAAGCAGTGGCAAAGAAATGGTGGCAGCAAAGTCAGCAGAACTAAGAGGCTAGCACCAAACAGAGCAGTGGACTGCCCAGCCAATGTAGTGAGAAAGCTGTGTGCCTTGGGACTGAGGCTTACTGGCAGAGTAGGGTGCTTCTAGGCATTTACCAGCAGAGCTAAGAATGCTTTGTAACACTTGTCTGGGCAGGGTAGAGGCCAGGCCAAGGGGTGAGGGTCACAGAGAGACCTGCTTTCATGTATGGCTGAGGGGAGGCTGTCCTGATTGAAGAATTGTATGCTGAGTTGTTTCTGATCCTGAATCACAATTTGTTACTTCCATAATAAAGCCCATAATCCTGAGTATTGTCTGTGAATTTTGTGTGGTCATTGCACTGAATTATCAGAGAAGTACATAGTGCTGTGGGAGGGACAGCTGGTGTTAAAATTGGTAAAAGGGTTGGAGGGTGGAGGCATATCTGACTTCTGCCTCATAGACATTGGTCTTGAGTTGTTGATCTTGATCCTTTTCACCCCTTGTGAAGTTAGAGGAGGTCAGACACTATTGTCACATCATTTTTACAATGAGAAATACCTTTTTCCAACAACTGAGATGATTACTATGCACACAGACCTCACTGGATGGTGTATACAGGAATCAAATTGACTATTTCTGTGGAAAGATACAATAGAGGACCTGAATGTTATCATCCAAGAAAAAGCCAATGGCCAAATGTGGAAGAGATTATCAATTGCTCATATGCAAGTTCAAGTTGAAGATGAAGAAAATTAAAGCAAGGCCAAGAGAACCAAAGTACTATCTGACTACATCTCACCTGAATTTTGAGCTTATCTCAAGCATAGATTTGATTCACTGAGCACTAATGATCAAAGACCAGAAGAGTTGTGGAAAGATATCAAGGACATGATACACGAAGAAAGTAAAAGGTCATTAAAAAGACATGAAATACAGAAAAAAAAATGCAAAAGAATATCAAAAGAGACTATGAAACTTGCTTCTGTCTGTAGAGTAGCTAAAGTGAACAGAAGAAATAATGAGTAAGAAAGCTGAAACAGATTTCAACAGGCAGCTAAAAAACAACTATTTTAAGGACATGTGCAAAGAACTGGAGTGAGAAAATGGAAAGGGAATCTTATAAGCTGAATTGCATTTTTTAAGCTGAATGAACTGAAGAAAAGCTTCCACTCTTGAGCTGCAATACTGAAGTATTCTATGGTTAAAAAAAAAAAAATATGGTTAAAAAAAAAAAAAGATGATGCAGAAAAAAAAAAAAAAAAAAAAAAAAAAAAAAAAAAAAAAAAAAAAAAAAAAAAAAAAAAAAAAAAAAAAAAAAGAATACACAGAGTCACTGTACCAAAAAGAACTAGTCAACATTTAATCATTTCAAGAGGTAGCATATGATCAAGACAACTTGTATTGAAGGTTCAAGCCACAATGAAGGCACTGACAAAAAACAAAGCTCCAGGAATTCATGGAATGCCAACTCAGATGCTTCAGCAAACACAAATAACACTGGCAGTGCTTACTTGCCTATGTCAAGAAATTTGGAAAATGTGTGCCCATTCCAAAGAAAGATCAAGCAGGATGTAGAACTTATCAAATAATACCATTAATACACATACCCACCAGCCACTCCTCAGAATTGATACCGCCTTGGCAACCCAAGGAGGGGTTGCTATTAGTCAGATCCGACTTGACAGCAGTGAGTTTGGTTTGGTTTGGTAGCAAAACTTTGCTGCAGAAAATCCAACACTGAAACCATACATTAACAGGGAACTGCCAGAAGTTCCAGCCATATTCTGAAGATGAAGTGGAACAAGACATATCACTGCTTATGTCAGATAAATCTTGGCCAAAAGCACAGAACATCAGAAAGGTGTTTATCTGTGTTTTCTTGATTACATGAAGGCATTGTACTATGGATCATAACAAATTATAGATAACATTGCAAAAATGGCAATTCCAGAATACTTCACTGGATCATGCAGAACCTGTATATAAATCATGAGGTAGTCTTTTCAACAAAACAAGGGGATACTGTGTGGTTTAAAATTGGAAAAGGTGCACAGTGTGATTGTTTTCTTTGATATTACTCATGGTAGAGTAGTACCTAGAGCATCTGACTGCTAACCTGAAGGTTGGAGGTTCAAGCCTACTAGCCACTCCTCAGAAAGAAGACTGGGCAATCTACTTCCACAAAGATTTACTGCCTCAAAAATCCAAAAGGGATCACTATGAGTTGGAATCAACTTAATGGCAGTGAATTTGGTTTTTGGTTTTTTTATTCAGTTTTTATGATGAACAAAAATTCTGAAGAAAGAAGCTTCTCAGATAATTATATGAAAAAGAAGGTGACATCATGATTACAGGAAAACTTATTAACAACCTGAGATATGAAGATGACACAACCTTTCTTGCCAAAACTGAAAACTACTTGAAACATTTATTGATGAAGTTAAAAGACTACATCTGAGAATTTAAAAAAAAAAAAAAAAAATCTTACAACTGGATGATTAAACATCATGATAGATGGTGAAGAATTTGAAGTTGTCCAGAATTTCATTCTTTTTGGATCAATAATCCGTGTCCATGAAGCAGCAGTCAAGAAATCAAACAACATACTACATTTGAAAAATCTGCTTCAAAAGAGATCTTTAAAGTGTTAAAGAGCAAATAAGTCAATTTAATGACTAAGATTCATTTGACCTAAGCCTTGGTCTTTTCCATCACCTTATATGCATGTGAAGTCTGGACAATAAAAAACGGGAGATTGAAGAAGAATTAATTCAGTTGAATTGCTTTGGTGAACAATATTGAATACAACATGGACAGCCAGAAAACAAATAAATCTGTCCTAAAGGAAGTGTAGCCAAAATGCTCCTTAGAAGCAAGGATGGCAAGACTTAGTCTTGTTTACTTTTGACGTGTCAGCAGGAGTGACCAATCATTGGAGAAGGATATCATGCTTGGTAAAGTCAGAGGAAAAGAGAGAGACCCTCATGATACAGACTGACCCAGTGGCTGCAACAATGGGATTAAATATAGCAACGATTGTGTGGATGGTACAGGACTGGGCAATGTTTTATTCTATTATACATAAAGATATACAACTCAACAGTATACATACTGAGTGAGTTGACTCAATAGCATTTTACAGCAATAGCAACAACAACAACATAGATTGGATAATGCCCCTCCGCATCCCCATAGGTATTGAAGTTCTGGTCCTGTACCTGTACCTGTGGATGCAATCCTGTTCGGAAATAGGGTTCTTCTTTTGTTTTATTAATGAGGGCATACCAGTATAGGTTGGGCTATAAATTTAATCACGTCTGAGTTATAAAAAGAGCATAATACATACAGAGAAACACAGAGAGAGAAGAGAGATGACATATAACGATCTGTCTGCAAGCAAAAAATACTAAGAATTTTCTACAGACAACAGAATTAGGAGAGGCTCACAGAAGGAACTGACAAAATCAAGACCTTGATTTGGACTTTTAGCTTTCACGCTGTGAGAAAATAAAGTTTGGTTGTTTAAGGCAGCCACTTACAGTATTTCTGTTATAGCTTGTTGTTGTTGTTGTTGTTATGTGCCATTGAGTCGGCCCCGACTCATAGCAGCACTAGGTAAATAAGAAAGTATGATCATCAGAAATCATTGTATTCCAAACCATATCAGAACACTATCTTCATTTTAGAAAAAGAAGAAAAAAGCTAGCTATATGTTGAAAATTTAAAATTTTGTACCAAATAAGTGTTACTCACCAAATACTGATGCTTATACCTATGAGGCGTAGGGAGAGAAATCTCAGGGCAAAGTGGTATATTATGAAGTCTATGGAATGAATGAATATTCTTTGTAGTATTTCAGTGCAAAGCACAATCTGAGAGAAAGATGTGATTAGAACATTAATATGTCTCTTACTTTTTGAAATATTCTAGAAGGATCAAATCCATGGTTTGAGTTTATATTTCTACTTTGAAATTCTACAATAATGAAATAAAACTAAAATATTTATCCAAAGGGGCACAGACAAAACAAACAAACAAAAAATCCCTCTTGATATTGTTCTTTTTGGGGCTCTAAACTCAAAAATAATAAAAGAGCACTATGACTGCATTTTCATTTTTTCCTAAAAAAAAGTCACATATGTATGGGAGAAGTAGCTATGATCTACAATCACTGGGCTTATTTTAATTTTTTTTTTCTGGAAGTTCAAATGGAAACATATTTTTTAAAAAGATACTTAAATCAATAAAAAAGAAATGAAAGAAAGGACAGGGAATGAAGTGAGGAACATGAAAATAGGATTTTTTTCTGAAAGATTATCCAGTCAGTGTTTTACTGCGATGATGCCAAAAGCATAGCTGTAAGAAAAATATCCAGAAAAGGATGTATTGCAATATAAGTACAATGTTAGAAATTAGGGTTGACACTACAAAGGGGAGAGACAAACTGTTCTTATGAAATGACCATGTGACTAAAGTGTCCTAGTTTTAGGGTTCTTTATTTTTAGGTGCTGAAGGAAAAGTTTTATGTTTGTGTATACTAATTTTAAGATAATATTTTAAAATATAAATTAAATTTGTATATTCTAGTATGCAATGAGTAAGTCAATGTGAAAAATATCACATTTACCTTTTTTAATACTAGAGATAATGATAAATTGTTAAATGGATATATGTTTTGTATACTATTATTTGTCAAAAATGAGGGGGAAAACATTGGTATTGAAATTAAATCTATTTTCTGTATTAGGTTTTCAAAACAAAATTGATGATTGTTAAACAAGTATTCATAGTAAGTGCTTGTTAAGATTGCTGAGTGTATTTTTAGGAAAGTGCTCATATGGCTGGTATTATTTCCACAAAAATAAGTGAATCAGAAATGGGATATTATTTATTTGCTATTATTAGTTATTTATTTGGTATACTCAGTACGACTCACTCATTCTTTGAGAAACCTCTCTAACATTCATTAGGCATACATCAAAGAGACAGGTGGATAAAATAGATGATTTGAAGATTCCCTTCATGTCCATGAATTATGAAAAATTTCACGCATTGAGTCACATAGTGATAAAAAAAAAAACTTTAATGAAAAAAATTATCTAAGTAAAGTAATGGTAGAATAAATTTTAGTGATTTTCATCTTAATTTGAATTAGTCAGAAATAGGCTTATTTCATATCACCCAACAAAGTTTACAATAGTAGTAATGCAGCTCTAATCACTCAATCTTACATAATGTCTGTGCAGAAGCCACTAGATCATGGAGACAGAGAGAGAGATAGAGGGTTACAGAGGTACAGAGAAAGAAATAGAGGGAAAGAGATATAAAGATGGAGTGAGAATTTTATCTAGATAGAGATAGAATGATAATAGCTAGCCAGCTGGCTAGTTACACAGACAGAGATGAATGAAAAGAGAGGGAAGAGAGAAGAAATTTTCCTCACAAATGGAACAATAAGCAATATCATGATAAATGGAGAAAAGATTGAAGTTGCCAAGGATTTAATTTATTTGAATCCACAATCAAAGCCCATGGAAGGAGCAGTCAGGAAATCAGACAACATATTGCAATAGGGAAATCTGTTGCAAGAGACCTCTTAAGAGTAAAGGATCAAAGATGTCACTTTGAAGACTAAGATGTGCTTGACCCAAACCATGGTATTTTCTATAGCCTCATATACATGAAAGAGCTGGACAGTGAATAAGGAAGATTTCAGAAGAATTAATCCTTTTGAATTGTGGTGGTGGCAAAGAATATTGAAAACACGATGGATTGCCAGTAGAACAAACAAATCTGTCTTAGAAGATGTACAGCTGGAATGCTCCTGAGAAGCTAGAATGGCCAGACTTTGTCTCATGTATTTTGCCATGTTATCAGGAGGGAGTAGACCCTGGAGAAAGATATGGTGCTTCATAAAGTAGGTCAACAGTGGTTGCAATGATTGGCTGAAGCATAGCAAATATTGTGAGGATGGTGCAGGACTGGGCAGTGTTTCATTCTGTTGTACATAGGGTCGCTATGAGTTTGAGTCAACTTGACAGTGCCTAACAAGCTCTGGTAGCATAGTGCCTAAGGCACTTGACTGCTCACCAGAAGGCTGGCGATTCAAACCCATCAGCCACTCCTCGGAAGGAAGGTTGGGCAATCCTACTTCCGTAGTGATACTGCCTCGGAAACCCAAGGAGGGGTCGCTATGAGTCGGGGCCAACTCGACGGCAAACAACAACAACAACAACAACACAACAGTGCCTAAGGCATCTGGATGCTAAACTAGATTGGTGGTTCAAACCCACCAGCTGCTCTGCAGAAGGGGCATCAACTTCTATAAAAATTTACACCCTTGGAAAACCAATGGGGGTCGCTAAGAGTTGAAACTGACTCAATGGAAGTAATTTTTTTTTTAACAACACAACAACAATAGGAAATTATTACATAGAGAATTATAGCAATGCCATTACTGGAATAAAACAAACAATGAGTCAATAAGCTTTGGGCAGTTTACAGAGTACATCAGAGGCAGAAGGGGCTCTTTAAATTATTTCAATAAAGGTTAGTGATCACTAGAACTATGGAAATACAATCAACTGGGACTCCAGTGAAAATGTAGCAATTTCAGGTGGAGTAAATGAGAATGGGGAGCTCTGATAGTGTAGTGCCTAAGGCACTTGACAGCTAACCAGAGGCTGGCGGTTCAAACCCTCCAGCCACTCCTTGGAAGGAAGGTTGGGCAATCTACTTCCGCAGTGATACTGCCTTGGAAACCCAAGGAGTGGTCACTATGAGTTGGATCTGACTCAACGGCACATAACAACAACAACAAATGAGAACGTTCTGAAAAAAGTGATAAAAAGTCCTGCCATTTTATATTTTAAAAAGGAAGTGACTATTCTATCATAGAATGATATTGGATGTGTACAGTGATTTATAGAAGACAAAAAAGAAAGAAAAACACAAATTAAAAAAACAGTAAAGTAGGAGTGAAGCATCAGATAATATTATAGTAAAATGCTCAGACTAGGTGTTTTCCTGTATGATGTATCACAATTTACATAAATGCTAGTAAATTATGTGGAACCGTACCTTTCTTTTTGCCTTTAGTTGCTCATGATACTTGTCACAGGTGTCTCCTGGGATCTCTCCTCCCCAGAGTGTAATTCCAACGATGGTGTATGTGATACCCATGATGAGTAATGGGAAACAGTACACCAATATAATGACAATAATATGGTAACTGTAAGAAATTAAAAAAGACACATGCTGAATAGTATACTGAGATGAAAATATAGGACACTGAATTCATTAAGCTTTAAATCCTAATTAAAAATGTCAAAAATTATCTCTATGTTTTCATTTTACAAATTTGTCAAAAATATTCTGCTATTATTACCTACCAAACCAAATAAGAAGCCAACCCATTGCCACTGAGTCAATTCTGACTCGTAGCAATCCCCATCTGGTTTCTGAGGCTGTGAATCTTAATGGAAGTAGATTGCCTCATCTTCCTCCCATGGAGCAGCTGCTTCCAGTGGATCCTTGCCAAGCTTTACATTGTACATGGAAACTGTAACTGAACTAAAGTACTCATTTAAACTACACATGATCCCTTTGCCTGCAGGTCCAGAATGAGAGCCTTTTCTCTGCTTGGGAATTGCTGAGCTAAACTAATTTATGGTCAGAGGAAAAGGGATGGAACAGAATAAACTAATCAACTGACATTTTCTCCTATGTAGGACTTTTCTGTGTATCTCAGCAACATCAGAATTATTTGAAATAAATTATTTTTCTCCAAAATAGAAAAAAAAAAATACAAATAGATGTTCTGAGTCATATTGGTTCTGTAAGTCACTGAAGAGTGATTAAAAAAAAAAATCAGGTAAATATATTTACATGCGTTTTCCTAAATTCATAGAGAAATTGATAACATTGTTGATTTGATAAGTAACACACAAACATATTAGTTATACCAAATATATGATATTTCACATCATCAAATTAAATTGTGGGATTCTGTAGCTTTCTACCAAAACACTAAGGATGCAGTAAGGAAGGATTAAGTGAGTAAGCCATAATATAACAGCCCAAACAGAATTTTTATAGACTTGTACAGTTTCTTCTGCCTTAGAGAAGCTTTAAAGTTTATTATATAGAAGGTGTGTTATTGTATAGAGAGTTTATTATAATAGTCCTTTTCAGTATCTGTATTTTTGTAAAGGGAATTTTAAACCTCCATGTCTTTCCATTTCCCAGTAGTTTATATTCTAAGCATTGATTTAAAGTCAGTGAAGAAGTAATATAGTCAACAAATAATTTAATTTCAAAACTGATATCATACAAACTAAGATTTATTAATAATAATTCATAGTAAACAATACTCAGTTTAATCACTGTTGCCTGCTTTTCCTTCAGTAAATGCTTCCTTAACATTTTTCTTCTAAACTCTGAAGAAT